GAAATCCCTATTTATCGCTCGAACAGCAGATATAAATATTGGCGATTTCCAGGTCAACCAAGTCAGTCCTTCACGGGCTCTCCGAGAGCTTAGTGCTCTCGGGGCTCTGCTTTCTTTTTAGCTTTCCATACTCTGAGACTAAGATTTTGTTCTACTATAAACTTGGTGTTTTATTTCGACAACATTAATATTGTCATGTAAGAAATATCTTGCCTTTGTCAAGACAAGCCATCGGAAGAGAAATATTTACAAGTCCATACCCTGGAAATGGACTTAAGTAGAAGAACTATCGTCGACATTTCCGAAGCCCTCTACAGAGCACCCGGAGGTTACAGAAGGTCATCGAGCAAAAAGACAATAGAGGGAATGTAAAGGTAGTAGGGGCAAAAATATCGTTAGACAGGAAGTGCGATCTTTAGAGGCCACATTAAACAAGGAAAGAGAGTCTCACTCCTTGTTTGACATCAAATTTAGTTGGGTTATGTTATTGTTTGTCCCAAATGTCACATAAAATCTTATTTATATTGAAGTTTTTTAACAATTGTGTCGTATTTTAGACTATTACCGTTAATAATTAATTAAAACTTTCTCGTCTAAGACACATTCTGAAAAATATTATATAGCTACTGTTAATAAGTGTCAGAAAATTTAAATTTGGCGCATTCGCATTTCCGGATATGTCCGCCATCACAGGCCACTTTTTTGGTCTCCTTTTCATAAGGATTAGATTCCCTCTTTTGTCTTTTTACTCTATGCAGAAGGTGTATAGACTACTTTAGTGTATTAGTGTAGTGTACAGGTTTGTGTTTGTTTATTTATTAAATATTATTAAATAATTTTTTTTATACAGTTAAAATCACATTTTTTTTTATTGAGTTTAATGCGTCGACAACTAATGGTCATTGGCATGGTACAGTGAATTTTTACAGTCAGGTACCTAGTGTAGAGTGTAGTGTGTGTGTAGAGTAATTGTCTTGATACTTAGCAAAGTCGACGTCATTGTCTTTGCTAAGAGACGCTAATTGTATCCGAACGTCTGCGGTCCCTCCGGTGAGTACCGATCGCACAAGGATAGAAATTATTTTCGTTTATTAATTTTTAATAAACAAAAATTTCTCCACCTAGGTGAGATTCGAACTCACGACCTTTAGGTTCAAAGGTAAGCGCTCTTACCACTGAGCCACAGAGGGTGTTAAAATCACATTTAATTAAATCATTCCATGGTAATATTCTGTTATTATTCGCTTTACGCAAAATAATTGTAAAAATTCTTTATTTTGAACCTATAGAGTGACCAAAAACATAAATATGTCAACCAAACGATTGAAATTGTGCAACAAATGTCTTGGGAAATAATATGTTTTATCTTTAGTATAAAAATAAAATATTTGTGGTACAGAGTTTCAAAATAAACAAAAATTGTGTACCCTGATACCCTTACTCAACCTCCGCTCATGGTTTATACTCCACTGAATTTTTCAAGGATCTCTTTAACGATATCGATAGAATCTAATGTTGATTTAGTATTTGACTCATAATTGGATGTGAAAAATTGCATAATACGAACTGCTGTTACCTACATAACAATGTCTACATCTGTGATCCCAATTTTTTTTGCTGAATTGAGTTTATTCAATAAAAAAAACGGGCCTGGATCCGGTGATTGTTTCGTATATAAATCGGTGAGATCTTAGAAAAATCAAAGTTTTAAATTGTGCTTTGTACAAGGTGTCCAGAAACTCTCCTAACAAACGAAAACCGAAGATAATTTTAAAACAATTTATTCCAATTCACCTAGTCTGAGGACACTTTCTAAAGGAGCTAAGCTTTTTAAAATTAGCCTAATTACCTAAAAATTAGCTTTTTTTAAATCGCTTCTATTTAGAAAAACGAAAACTGGTACGGTTTTATCCTCCATCGATTCCATTAATTACGAATTTCTAGTACCAGTCATAGGCGTCCGTTTTGGGTAGGTCAACGGTTATTTTAACGCATAACTTTTTTGCATTTAACTTTTACGCATTCGTGATACCAGATTATTAAATTTTCAGGTATTCTAGTAATAAAAGGTACTCTTAATTTAAGTCGGTAGGATACACCGTTTTCTAGAAAAATCGATTTAAGAATTTTTCGTTTTTTTCAATTTTTCAATTAACTTAATATTTTTGGCAACTAGTTGGATTTGTGTCTCATTGTTAAATTGTTCTCAGTTCGCGAAGTTTATCTTGTAGTTTTTGACTGTGAGGCATTCAAACAACACAATCTCAATTCAACAAAAATAGTTTTTACTAATGAGAAATACGCTGATATATGCTTTTAGATTATGGCAAAATGAGAACGCTCGATCGAACAGCACAAACTAGATTCGCTGAAAATTTTTTAATCGTGGGCATCCCACTCGCTCAATATCTACTCCTCTTCATCGACGATTAAGAGAAACAGGTTCAGTGGTCCCAAGAAGAGAATGAAACATGGCGACATAATGATAAAACAGCAGCACATGAAGATGTTATTTTTATGGAAGTTGAGGAAATTCCAGAAATCGGCGTTCGATAACTATCTGCCATTTATCTCAAAATTTCAAAATCTTCCACAACGAAAATTTATATCCTTTTCGTTTTACAAAAGTAATTTTCCTTGTTCGTGTAGAATTCGCTAGATGGTTACAAGATCAGAAAAATCAAATTAAAGATTTTTTTTCAGATACCTTTTGTTTTGCGACTAAAAATCGAATTTTTAATGCCCACAATTATTTGTACGTTGATGACAATCCCCACATTGTTCAAGAATTTAAGCATCAGCATAGGTTTAGCATAAACGTCTGGATAGGAGTAATTGATGATTGTCTACTTTGGACCTATGGAATTGCCTGCTCGTTTAAATGGTGCTGATTACTTAAATTTGCTGCAAAATGTTTTACCTGATTTGATAAATGATGTGCCTTTAAATATTTCACTTTCAGATGCACTTTCACCACAACTCTTCAACTTAGCTCTGGAGCACATAATCAGAAGTGCAAGAATCGAAAAACCGAATACAGTATTTCATCGAGAAGGACCAAACTTACTACTGGCATTTGCAGACGATATAGATCTAATAGGAAACACGCGATTAAAGATGAAGGAGACTTTCGTAAGGTTGACGAAACGAGGGAAGGAAGCGAAACGTGGACGATGACAAAGGCAAATGAAGAGAGACTACGTGTTTGGGAAAGAAAAATCCTAAGGAAGATCTTTGGTCCGGTGCTTGATGAAGCATCAGGACAATATAGGATAAGAACTAATAAAGAGCTTGAAGAACTTTACCCAGACGCCAACATCATAAAAGAAATAAAGTCCAGAAGACTCCAATGGGCAGGACACCTCAGAAGACATTCTGACGAACGAACAGTAAGACTGGTGTGGGAGGAAGTCCCAACTGGAAGGAGACCACGCGGACGCCCTCGTCTCCGGTGGCGAGATAATATAGCAGGAGACCTAAGCACTATGGGCGTGGAGAATTGGATGGAGGTTGCTCAAGATAGAAAACAGTGGAGGCATGTTGTCGAGTCGGCTAAAACCCACGAAGGGTTGTAACGCCACGGAGTAGTAGTAGTAGTACTTTAAATATTTGGCAAAACTTATTCTTTTTACATGCCATGACGGCTGTCCGGTCCACTTTAGCAGGAATGTACGAGAGTTTCTTGATAATAACTACGAAGACCACTGGATTTGAAGAAGCGATCCAGTTTCTTGGCCAGCAAGGTAGCCGGATTTGAATCCTTGTGATTATTATATTTATCGATATATAAAAGCATTTGTTTATTCCGTTCTGATACAAATTCGTACACAACTCTTTGGAATTTTTGCAAGAATTCGGCATTCTCTAAGCAAAAGAGCAAAGTTATGCATATAGACTAATGGTCATCACACCAAGCATCTTTTGTAATTATCTACTTTTGATACTTGTTCTTTTGTGTTAGTTTTGTTCCATCGTAATAAAAATTTTTTGTTTTTAAAAAGCTGTAAAAAAATTTTCTTTCAATTGGATTTTTTGTTTCTTTTCCCAAACTTTTTTGCGTAAGATGTGCTGCATTTATTGAAACGACAGATAATTTATAAAATTAATTAAGAAACCTATTGATTTATCTTTCACGACAAACAATTTTCAAATCGATTCTTCTAGAAAACTGTGCATCCTACAGACTTAAAGTAAGGATACCTATTAGTAGTAGAATGCCTAAAAATGCAATAAACTGGTATGACGAATCCTTAAAAGTTAAAACCAAAAAGTTATGCATTAAAATAGCCGTTAACCTACCCAAAACGGACGCCTATGACCAGTACTAGAAATTGGAAATTGATATAATCGATTCAAATCTGTAGGATAAGTAATCATACAAGTTTTCGTTTTTCTAAATAGAAGCGTTCTGAAGGTGTTAGAAAAACTAATTTCAAGGCGTCATCTTCAAACTCCCTTAGCAAGCATTTTAGGACTAGGTAAATTGGGTTAAATTGTTTTAAAATTGTCTCAGGAATCTGTGGTCTTCGTTTGTCAGGAGATTTTATAGACACCCTGTCTACAATATATTCGATAACAACCGATATACCGTTGATTTGGCTGTGGTATGCCCAACGCTTTTGCATCAAGACGACTTAGAACACTCCTATAGCAACAGAAAGTAATAAAACTTATTGCTGAGTCTTCTTCTGGGCTTTATTTTCCTCTTTTGTCTTCAGGTAGAGTTCCAAGTTCACTGGTGCATCGCTTAGTCAAAATTCTCCACTTGTGCCCTAAACACTCCTCATTTAATTGTTTTATTTTTGAAAGACATCCCCTATATACACCACAGCCGGTTTTCTATCTCTGTACTAAACGCATCTTTATCCCAGCTAAGGTAGTTAGATCTACAACCGCATCCATAGCGTCGTTGTTACAATTGCCGAGAAAACTTCCTCATATTCTAAAAACAAGTGTATGTTTGGTTGCCTAAAAGCATGGTAACAGGAAAAATAACTAAACAAAGTATACAAATTTATTAATAATATCGATAAATATACAAAAAATATTACATAAATATTATAAAAATATTGACTTCTACATTTTAAATATGATACAAAACTATGGTAACATCTCATTAGGAAATATTTTAGCAATCGTTTTTATTGGAATTCAAAAACATAATACTGCTTACGATTCCTGAAAATATTAATACAGAAATATTAATATTAGAAGAATCAGATTAAGATTTCAACGATCAAGCACCGCTAGACAAGCACAAGCCACGAGGACACTTCACGCATGCCTTAAAGCTCTGAAATAACAAATAAATAAATCAATAAATCTTACGTGAATTTTATGTGTTTTATTTATATGGTGTCTCAAAAATCACACAAAAGGTAATCGTGGTAAAACACAGCAAAAAAGGTTTATAAAGCCAATATGGTTAAAAAAGTATGTCGAAATAATCTTATGTACAGCAAACATAGGAAGAACATGCAAAGAAGTTTTTTAGGCTCCTGAATTGTTGCCGGATAAGAGGTTATGCTCGTAATGAAGTATCTATACAAAGCAACCTATAAATTCGAAAAAAAAAAATGGATCAAGTATGTTCTTCATATAACATCAATAATTCTCACATTGTGATTTTTTTTAATGTCTCTATAGATCAGTTTGTGATATGTCATCACATATTTATAGACTACAAAGCAGCCTACGATTCTGTGAATAGAAGAATGTTCAAAACAATGAAAGAGCTAGGAATACCAAATCAGTTTTGCAGATTTATGAAAATCTACAAAAGCCAGAACGAATGGTCGATTGTATTCGATAGTCCTTTCTATTTAGTCCAGGCTGTGAGGCCGCTCCCGTTGGGAAAATGTTTCCGATTCGGTTTCTTCGCGGATTCCGGTTCAAAAATGTCCCCTTTAAACAAATCTGAAGGGTACCGGGCGAAATTTTTGGGCAGAAATTGTTTAAACAATTTTTTTAAACAAAGTCCAAAAATATTTTTTTTTAATCTGGAAAACGTTTTTTTAGGTTTTTTGGGCCATTTTAAACAAAAAAAGTCTCTTGTCATTTTTCTCTAAAGTTGATAGTTTTCGAGTTATAAGCGATTTAAAGTCTGAAAAAGCGAAAATAGGCATTTTTGAAGCTTGAAAACACATATGTAAATTATTATTTTTGAGGTTACCAAGTGTCTAAATTGAAGTTTAAACATTCAACTTTAAGATTGTGAAGAGTAATCGGGGCTTATTTTAATTTAGACCGTTGTTTTTTAATTGTTAAGTATGCGCGTACACTCGATTTTTCAGCCGCCGCGGCGCCGCGCGCTACCGTGCGCCTCTATCGTACTTATGCACAGTTTACATATACTTACAAATAATTATTATTTATTGAGTATATATTTATTTATATCAATTGAGTTATAATATAAATTTCGTCTAAAGTCTAATAATAGTTACATAAAATAATTGTACAAAAGATTGTTAAATAACACACTAATATCACTCAGTAAAAGTATCTTTGTTTTCACAAAAATCTAAATCACATCCACATAATGGTACACAGTTGACATGATTTTTCTTGCAGTTGCAAGCATTAGTTTTGCAAGTCTCTTTGCATTTGCACGATTTCCCAACCCACCACTATCAGACATATAATATCCATATTGTGTAAAATCGAGAGTTTGATAGCGGGAATATATGGCATTTCGCCAAATATATGTTTTAGCGAAAGCTCTTAACAAGTGTTGGTAAAGTGCGTCAGAGGTACAAGGTATATTGGCTAGATTAAATTAAATTTTTCAGTCACACGGTCTTTTCGTCGAAGAGCAGCATTTTGTATTGTTATGTAAAAATCTACTTTAGGTTTTTGCACTAACTTAATATTGTTAATGTTATTACAAAAAATACAAACTAAATTTTCTTCGGTAAGTTTTCATTTAAGAAGAGGTACGGAAAAAGACATTTTAAATCCATTCACAATTTTTTTAATAACACATTAATAATATAATACCCTTTTAATGGGCATTAAACAATAGTCTTCCTAATGATCGTTTAAGTAATAATAAATCAAGTATGAGCGCGCGATTGTTTAAACAGGTAAAAACTTGCATTTTTGCGATAGTATATTGTTTTTAAACACCGCGCAATTTAAAATTAAGTTTACTAATATTAATATTTACTGCATTGTATTATTTAAATAATAATTTAAAAATATTATTTACAATTGATATAAATAAATATATACTCAATAAATAATAATTATATTGTTCAAATTTGGAAGAAAAAAAAACTATATACGGTTATTACATTGCGATGATTGATTTATTTAATTAGCTCAATGACAATAATTAATACCTACATAAATAAATTATGGAAAAAACTATGTTAATAAACTTCAAGGATTTGTTCGGGTTTTTTTGCGTAAGTGTATATGTAAACTATGCATAAGTACGATAGAAGCGCACTCTAGCGCGCCGCGCCGCGGCGGCTGAAAAATCGAGTGTACGCGCATATTTAACAATTAAAAACAACGGTCTAAATTAAAATAAGCCCCGATTACTCTTCACAATCTTGAAGTTGAATGTTTAAACTTCAATTTAGACACTTGATAACCTCAAAAATAATAATTTACATATGTGTTTTCAAGCCTCAAAAATGCGTATTTTCGCGTTTTTCAGACTTTAAATCGCTTATAACTCGAAAACTATCAACTTTAGAGAAAAATGACAAGAGACCTTTTTTGTTTAAAATGACCCAAAAAACCTAAAAAAATGTTTTCCAGATTAAAAAAAAATATTTTTGGACTTTGTTTAAAAAAATTGTTTAAACAATTTCTGCCCAAAAATTTCGCCCGGTACCCTTCAGATTTGTTTAAAGGGGACATTTTTGAACCGGAATCCGCGAAGAAACCGAATCAGAAACATTTTCCCAACGGGAGCGGCCTCACAGCCTGGACTAATTACCGTTTTAATGCTCTGTAGATGATCATTTGTGCCAAATCTGGTATGAAATCCCGCTTGCTCTATGTTTTTCTTAAGACGATTCTTGTCAAAAGTTTGTATATGTGACTAAGAAGACTTATAGGTATGTACTTTTCTAATTCATAGGGATCTTCTTTTTTGTACAATAGAATTACCTCAGTATTGTGCCATTTGTCGGGTATATTATTGTCCAAAAGGCACATGTTAAAAAGGTTTCTTATTTTCTTAAATAGACAAGTGCTTTCGATTTTGATTGCATCAGTAACTACACAATCTTCGTTTGAAGATTTGTTATTCTTAGCTTTTCTTAGGACTAATAGTTCTGATCCTTGGTTGACAATACACTTTTCCTTGTTATTATTTCTGGTACTTGATCTTCTCGGCTATTTGCTTTGTGTTGGCTTGACTACAGCAATTTGTAGAACTCTGTTGGTTGTAAGATGACCATTTCTATCTTTGATCTATATTATCTGCTTTGTCCCCGTTCTTAGTCTTCTTCTCAATACTTTCACACTTCTATTGTTCTCAGTGGTATGTTCGATTTGTTCTTGGTTGTATTTTCGAGTGTCTTGTCTAACAGTTTTGGATATTCCTTTATTTAATTTTTGTAGTTAATCGGCTTTAGTTTCCGTCTCGCTCCTCATTTCTCTTCTTTTCTGCATTAGTTGCCTGGTACTTTGGCTAATCTTCTTTTATTTTTGAGTTCTAGGCAGAATTTCTTTTGACTTTCCAGTAAGACATTTGTTAATTTATTTATTTATATTTAGCTACAATAAAATCGTAGCAAAAAATAAATGTCAACAAATTGTTTATGCAAGTTTTTTATTGTAACACCTTAATTGATTAGATTTGACATTATGCGGATGGTCCTCGCACTGTCAACTGTCATTTGACTGAAAATGTCCACATGTCGAATAGTTTGATCAATATTTGGAACAAATTATACTAAAAATTACAAGACCAAAGATGAGCTTGAGGGCAATTTGTTATTGCGTAAATTACTTAAGAACTTGGTCAGGGAAACCATGAAAAACTCAGTAATTACCGAAAAAGATCCTTGAACAGGAGGACGTTTAAGTAAATGTTGAATGAATACCTCGACTAGGGGCTCGGCTTCCGAGAAATATCAAACCAGGCACAAAGATCTCGTTTTTCTAGAATCTACAAGCTAATGATACATTCCCTTCTTCTAACCCTTTTTTTAATGTCAAGTGACAGCTGACAGTAACTTGTTGAAGGCTTTTGAATGTCAGCTGTCACTTGAGATTTAATCTATATAAAGAGTGGTTTTTGCATGTTTTATCCTCATTTTTGTCAGCTCTAGTCTTCAGAGTCATATATATACAATCCTATCACAAATAAATAATGTTAACATTCAAATAACATTGTTCAAAGTATCTTTTCTATATTTCTAGCAACAAGCAACATTAGAACATTTCGAAAATATATACAATAGGCAACAAATGTACAAAAAGCAGCAATGCCTATAGTAAATGCAATTTAGAAATATTTACGCTAATTTTGAAATATCTACATATCTCAAAATCGTACTGATTTGTAGAATACCTCGTGGTTTCTTTGAGGATTACTAAGGAATAGACAGAACATAAAAGGTCGGTATAAGATTTGAGTTTGCTATAGGCTGTTGGTCAGAAATGTTTTTCTCACTCTTAAATTTTCTCATTTTTCCTGAAACGCCAAAAAAATTTATGGTTTTATTTTGTTGCTCAAAAAGTGCTAAACATTAAAATCTGGATGATAAACTACTAAAAAAATCTTGGATAAAATAAACGGGTCACTTTAGTACACGTGAATTATTTTATTAGGTTGTATTCATGTGAAGACTTATTTTCAACAATCAATTTATTAATAAGTGAGGCAGGGAAGTGTAGCAAAAGTGTAAAAAATAGAACGAAGCAAAAGCGTTAAGGAATCCAAAGTATCTTGGAACGTTTTAGGTATTTTTTCGACTTGTGTGAAAAAATGTCAAGCTGCAAGCGACGGTGCACTGTTGAAGTTCCTTGCAACGATTCCTTACAGCCGTCTGTTCTGCTCGTGGTTCATAATTCCCTTTAGAATAGTTTATGCTCAGAACTGCGTGGCCAAGGAAGAGCTTGATCGTTAATATAAGCAGCGTTTTCCATTTCTAATGCGCAAGTCACTTGGTAATAAAAAAAGTCAAGCTTGAGGCGCTTCTGGAAGTAAAATACCAGCGATTCCTTACCTGTCGTCTGCTAATCTTGTGTTGGTATGCTCCAGTAACAGTGTATGTCGAGTACCTATTGCTACAAGTGGACCCTAGGTATTAGAAGTGGTCAATTGTAGTCGAAATTACGAGTGAGAACTAAACTCAACACCTAAAAATCTTCGCTGAAGAGGAAGAGTCGCTCTATTTATTACCTGGCGAGATGTTGCCCATCTTGACAGCTTCTTACGAAGACAAAAACCTCGAAAGTAATGCAATAAACGAGCTGTTGATTTCAGAACAGTGAGGTCCTTAAAAAAGTCATGTTAGGAGAGGTACAATCCAGAGTAAGTCATGTTTGTAGAGGGAATAGTTTAAGAGTAGCCCGGGGATTCCCAACAGATAAATAAAAGAGGAAGGAAATCGGAAGAATGAACTTCCCTTTTTAATGAGGAAACAAAGCTCAGAAAAAGTGTCGATCTATACGTTAAACGTATCTGGAAGGTGTGCCAACTTCATCTAAAAGAGTCCTCCAATGGATCAAAAGGATTTCTGCAGATCAGAACCAAAATAGTATCCATAAGGATAATAGGTTGAAAGTTAAAATGATTTAAACTTGTGGCTTACCCATAAGAACCAGAAAAATAATGTGACAGTGTTTGACAAGCTGCGTTTTCTCATCTGCATGACTTTAGAAGGAAGTCACTTTAGAATAACGCGAGAAAATGAAATGAATAATGCTACCGGTTGTTTTTAAAAAGTAATGGAGCGATGCATTTATTTTATCCATAGATTTATATCGATATGCCTTATCTAATCATGAAAATATGTTGGACGTCGTTATAGTAGAAAAAAAAAACACTTCCATAACGGTTTCATAAGCTTAGTAATAAAAATATGATAAAAGAAATAATAAAAGGAGTGGAAATTATTGAACAAGTAAGGAGACTATATACAAAAAACGAAACAACTCAAAATCCTTCTCTGGAACCTCTCACACCTGTCATTAATCTGCCATGCTTTAAGGAATTCAGTCTAATGGTCTAATCACTGTTAGGAAATACAGTCACAATGAAAGTTTTCATACCTCGAGGGAAATCTTTTTTCCTAAATTCAAATAATAGTATAGAACGAAAAAAACTATTCAGTGAACGTCAGTGAATTAGATGAAATGAACTGATATGAGCAGATTCAATCTGTGGTAAATAAAGATCTATCACAGGCAAATAAGCGAAAGATAGAAGGAAAAACTAGTGAGCAGCAACATGGAAATAAAGAAAATAAGGCAAATTAATAAATGACGAAATAAGAAGAAGAAAAACATAAGTTTATAAACAACACAACGAAATTTAAAATTGTTTTAGCTCACTTTATTATTTTACATCGCTTTTCATGATTAAATAAGCTCAATAAACAAAAACTGTTACAGCTAGATCAGTAAAAATCGATCTTTTTGTAAAAGATTTATTTTGAAAAATATAAAATATAATTTAAAAAATCCTAAGGCATTTAATAAAATCTATCAGGTAATGAGGGTGGCATACCTGGAGGAGGCGGTGGGGCGGGCCTGGAGAACACTGGTGGGGGTGTAGACAGTCTGTAACCTACAATAGAATGACATACAATAAAAAAACTTAAATTTTCCCCAGATTTAGGGAAATTTGATTGAAAGTTCATATACATTGTCATCAATAGTATAAAAACCAATGTTTTTGATAGAGATCGGAGATATCAATTTGTTGTATGATCTGGGCAACATTTTAAACGCGATTGTGAAGTGAATTTCAATTTCGTTCACGGCTAAGTTCGTCTAAAATCTACAAAATGAATTTGATACTAATCCTTATACTTCTGTGGTCTAAAATGATGCGAAGTTCAACGTTGGCTTAAAATGCTTCCTAAATCTAATATTACTGTATCTATATATCTCTAACACATTGGCCCTATCGATGCGCTGTTGCCTAAATATCCCCAAATCTTGGAATTTAATAAATTTCAATAGTTTTATACATTCTTATAAAGAACAAGTTAGAGTTGGAGCTAGAAAGCATAAAACCATTAGATATTACTTTTTTTGGTGGCAGCGGTAGGTCTGGTAGGCACTGTTGGTTTGTAAAGAACCGCTTCTTCTTCTGTACTGGTCGCGCTACCCGAAAATTTCATTGAACAGTCTCCTATGATATCCAAAGCCATTTTGCAAGCTTGAAACATCGCCATTTTCTCTTCTCGCTTCCTTACTTCGTCTGGAGATTCTTCTAACAATTCAACCTGAAAGATTTAGATGCGGTAAAAATAATTCATAGAATAACACAAAACTAGAATACTTGAATGAGCTTAAGTAACACAAAAGCACTCACTTGGTCATCTTGGGCATACACACTGACTAGAAGTTCTTCAAAAACATATTTTTTAGTATTCTTAATGATCATATGGGTAATAATCTTTGGTACTAAGTCTTTGGTGGCCTTGGTTACAATCGACATGTAGCTCTCTACTAGATTCCTTATCACCTCAACTTGTCGTTTAAGCTGAGGGTCTACGTCTTCCTCAATAACGATCTGCAAAGCGTAAATGATTGTTCAATTGTTCGAAATATGTGGGAAAAGTGAATAAACATAAAAAACTTACACTGTCATCATCAGATTCTTCGTTGTTATTCAGAAGTTTTTGAGGATAGACACCTGCTCTCAAAAAAGAAGCCTTCCAAGAATCCATGTCGTCTACAGAGTTACAGCTCAGTTCCAGCTGTTTATAATCCTAAAAAAATGAATACCACGTATTACTTTCTTATATATGCCCCGTTAAATATCACGTATCACCCAACTGTCATGTGTCAATGTCAAATGTCAACTATTATAAATATCTAACTTATCTTATTTGATTCATTTTTGGATACAAGTCTCTATTACCTTATTGTGTAATTACTATTGCTGTCTTTTCTATTATTTTTTTATTGTTGCAACCAGTATACTAACTTTTTCTAAGCAAAATACCCTAATTTGTTTAGGGGAAAAACCATTCTTATTTATTTAATCTTATCTACTTGATCTAATCTCTAATAAAACAGCAAATTTTCTTCGAAATGTTTTAAGTTATCACCTGCTTTGTCATATGTCACGTTCAATGTCACTTGTCATGTTTTTAAAATCAGTCAAAGAGTTGATCATTAACTCTAACATAAATATATACGAAATATCATGGTCAATTACCTTATAAACATTAGAACCATGGGGATAGAACAACGCAAAAGTCGGTTTCCTATTTATAAACCCAGTCTCGACATCCCTCAACTTCAATTTATTGAGGGGTAGGATGTACTGGATCTCCTTTTCAGTCTCGTCTCGGTACCAAGCTAAGCTATCCGAGGACAACACGTACCAGAAGCTCCTACCCTTTATTATACTGAGATTGTGCAGCGTCATGTACCCCTTTCGAATTACTTGGTTGCCTAAATGATTGTTGTGGGTCGGTATTGTCTTTCTGGCTTGTGATTCAGCACTGAAAAGAAGAGCAGGAATTTATAAATAATTTAACATTAGTAATAGTAATTTTCTTCTTCTTCTTCTTTTTATTTCTTCAGTTTGACGAAGAAAGAAGAAAGTTAGCTTGGGCAGCATTCGGTAAACTGAACTATATACTCAGAAATCAACAAATCAATTACAACTTAGATCTAAAGTTTTTGATGCATGCATTATTCTAATATTAACTTATGCGGCACAAACATGGACAATCACAAAAAAAATATGAATATACTTTTTGAGAGTCACTCAACACGCGATGGAAAGAGCAATGCTAGGTATATCACTTAAGGACAAGAAAACAAACACATGGATAAGACAGAAAACCAAAATCACCGATGTGGTGCAAAAATCATTAAAGTTGAAATGATAATACGCTGGACATGTAGCTAGGAGCGATCTAAACAAATGGCACAGATCAATTTTAACCTGGAGACCATACCAACACAAAAGACCCAGAGGCAGACCTCCTATGAGATAGACAGATGATCAGAAAAGGACTGCCGGGAAAAATTGGCTACAAGTAGCGTACAATAAAAAACAATGGAAATGAAGACTTGAAGAGGCTTATGTTCAGATGTGGACGTGAATGGCTAGACGAAGAAGAAGAATAGTAATTTAACAAACTGTTAGCAAGTTATAAAGACTTGAGCCTGAGGAACAGGCATGATTTAGGGCAGGTAGATCTACTGTTGACCATTTGTTTTGCATTACACAGAATATTGAAAAGAAAATAGCCGTTATTCAAGAAGTACATTTATTGTATGTAGACCTACGAAAGGCTTACTCAAAGGTAAAGGTTGGAAATAATCTGTCAAGTGTGGAGAGAAGGCATCAATAGAGAGATAAAAGACAGAGACATAGAAGAAGACTTATCGATGAATCGAGAAGAGTGGCAACTGGGTATTGGAAGACGTAGGAGAACTTTTTAAACTGATCTATATAATATACAAACTGTTAGCAGTAGAGGGGTGATTTGGGCAACTTTGACAGGTGCATCGAAAGATTTTGGGCCTTTTAAGGAATTATCACCTTCTCTATTTTCCGATAAATCAATATAATGATCAATTCGAGCTTAAGCTTGAATATAATGAACGTTCTTGAAACTTTCCCATATATAGCTGATAGTTTTTTTTCCATTCACAGCTTCTGGATTAATTTATGAGCTTCCAAATTTCCGAATTTGAACCATTTTTTTATTATGGTTAGGTCATACTGTACGAATGGTATATGCTCTTTGTAAAGAGCAGGTGTATCATTGAGGTGGATCAATGTATTGATCGGCCACTGTAGACTTGTATATTATGGTGAATGTTTGGTGGTTTGGTCATACGGTAAGAATGGTATACGTTCCTATTCGTTTTATTTCCGGCGATAGCAGCTACTGTACGTTATATCCATTTCAATGGCATATGGATTGTTTCGAGATAAAGAGAGAGGGGCTTTTTTTCAATAAGGTCTGTTTTTATCCCCTCCCCTTTCATTTAATGTGTTACATATAGCAATATTGTTGTGTTGCCAATAGAAACGGAGATATGTTGTAATGCCGTTTTGGTATTGTCTTTGCTTTTTAACATATTCATTATCCTCTGACCTTTCGTTTGACGCCTCATACTTTACAATCGGACCAATAACGACGAAGATATGATCTGGTGCCGTTTTGGTATTGTCTTTGCGTTTGTTTTTTATTTTAACATATTCGCTTCCACCTTCCCCTTTCGTCGATAACTTGCACGTTGTTGTACGTTGAACCGTTTAGATATTAACTTGCACGTTGTTGTACGTTGAATAGTTTAGACGTTACAAGCTTAGTGTCGTTTTGGCAATGCCTCCATCTTTGTTTCTTGTCTCAACGTATTTCCCGTCTCCTCACTGTTCCAACGAGCCCTCGTACGTCACAATCGGACCAATAACAACGGAGATACGATATAGCGCCGTTTTTGCACAGTCTTTGCGTTTGTTTTCTAGCTCAACGTGTTCCCCGTCCCCTCCGCTTTCCAACGATACCTTACACGTCACGATTCGATGAGCCGTTTTACCCCCACCACAAAAGAGCCAAAAATGACCAGAATCGACCTTAGAATTTCTTATGGAGATTTACATGGGAAAATGACCCGTTTTGCGCTCGTAGACCTGCTGCCCTTTTACTCCCATTCCATGATAATGCATCAGAGTAACACCTCTGGGATCTGTTAGGAAAATGAAGGAAGTAATTTGTTGAAATTTGATTGCATTTGTCAACTTCAGCCATTTTTACGTCGAGATTTCTAGGCAATCGAAAGATAAGAAAGTCGAAAGAAAAGAATCTGTTGGAAAAACAATCAGTTGAGATGAAGGTAAAGCTTAAGGTTAACACATGTGGGACTTGTTATGAAAATTTCAAACTTTGTTGAAAAAAAAACACAATATCTTTATCTTACTTGGCAAATCCTATAAAGTCTTCATGATTTGTATTCATATAAGAAAGTTGGCAATTAATGTACACTGCCAATTGATCCCTACATTCTTGTTCTCTTTTTCTCACGTGATTCGTTATTACTCTCTCAACGATTTCTCTTAATCTCGGAAACCTCGACATCTAAAAAAGGCAACATTGCTAATTTATATACCACTTTGAAAATATTGGATAAACTACATATTTTTGAAGGAACTCTTACTCACCTGTGCCGAGCAGTTGTGCACAACATTCAACAATTCCGTTGAGACTAGATCTACACACTTCAAGCAAGGATCTTTCAATCTAGAGATCTGCTTTTTTACTATGGCATCAAATGCTAAATCGGGTGTAAAAAGCCCTATCTACAAGTACAAAAAAATACAGTATAAAGGAAGTACTTGTTAGAAATAATCTTACCCTAATTCCATGAATATTCGCAATGGCAATTGCTATTTCCTTTCTCAGCTCGCTTTCGTCGAACTCCATTTTCACAACTTCAAACGGGAATCTTTCGTGAAAAACACAGTTTATTCTAGCACCACCGACAGCTCAGTAGTGTTGACGTCATCCGATCTGGAGCCTTCGAGGACTTTTTCGAAACTCAGAGCGAACTGCTGGATCATCCTGTAAAAATAACACAAGTAAATTCTGTGTGGCTATAAGTAGTGCTTTAACAATGTAATTTTACAGGTATTTTTCAAGGTCATTAGTTACCTGATGTGCTCAGTCAATTGCTCTTTGTAGTCCATTGAATTTTACAAGATGTTTTGATCATCTTTTTGACATTTTAAGTATTGACAAGTTCAAAAGTCATAACATAAAATGTGCCTAATAATGTGTTAAGTAAGGCATGAGATATATAAGCAGTGATGAATACTTAGAGACTTTGTATAAGAGTTGCAATTTAATAAAAATGAGTAAACATTCTTGCCAGACTAGGTAGATTATATTTTACATCTTCTTAATTTGTTCTATGAACAACATTTATTACAATAAAAACTGTATACTTACTGTAGCATTGCCTTTGATTTCATACTGGGATCATCAGGAGAGAAGTTCTTGAAATCGCCAAGCTCCTTTTCCAGAATAATAACCTGTTTCTGTAAATTATCTCGTAATGAAGGAAGAGTATTTCGTATGTGATTGGTTAGTTGCTCGTTCAACACTTTTTGTAGGTATGGAGTACCCAATTTATCAGCTATGTGCGTATAGGACGGATGCCTGGAATTATTAAGAAAAAATAGTATTCGTACCTACAATTTTCTACAAACATCAAGATAAAGTAAGCCAAATGGACTTATTAATTTATAATCTGGCTCGAAGGACCAAAAAAGTTCTAACTTCTTATTTTATATTGGATAGAGGACTTCTATTAGGTTATTTCTTAAGAAAAATACAGCTCTTTTTAAGTGATACCTTAACTAAAATAATATTTACCCCAAGAAATATTTCCTCTCGGCTTCCAGCGCTAATTTGATATCCTTTTGCCCATCGATATCTCTTTGTGAACGGTTTATAACACCTACATAACCTCTTCTTAAGGGCAATAGTTTATTTTCTAGAATGTACTTAGCATCCGTACCTTCGTCCATTATATCTAATTTGGTTATAACACCTATAGTGCGGTATCCTGAAACGAAATGCAACGAATTATGATATTGCTCGGAGATTCACCGATCATAACATCACAAAAAATTGAAAAGCAACAGGGGTGGACCAAATAAAACAGCGCTAAATATATAGAAAATAAAACAAATATTTTTACGTGAAATAGATGATTTTTTCACAGACTGGTGTGTTCTTATTTACACTGTATTTATAATTATGTAATGTTAAATTAGATAGGTAAACCAAATGCTTACAAAAAACAAAAAAAACGGGATCTCGGTCATTAATTCACGCCTGTTGAAAGAACACTATAATTTTGTCATGGTTTACTCGGTCAAAAGCATTTTCGAAGTCGATAAAACATATATACCGATTGTTCGATATCCCTATATCTTTGAACCATCTTCTTCTTCTAGTTCCATGACCGTTATCGATCGTTGGATATCATGTTGGCTACCATATTCGCTATCGTGACTTTATTGACAGCAGCTCTAAATAACGATGTAGTTGATTTTCCATACCATTGCCTTAGATTTTTCAGCCATGATGTTCTTCTTCTACCAGGACCACGATTACCTTGGATCTTTCCCTAAATGATCAGATGTAAAAGATCATATTTTTCAGGGTGTCTCATAATATGACCGAAGTATTCCAGCTTGCGTTTCTTTATTATATTGACCAGTTGTGTTGTTTGGTTCAGCCGTCTAAGGACCTCCTCATTTCTAACTCTGTCGACCCAGCTTATTTTCAGTAGTCGTCTGTATATCCACATCTCAAAGGCTGTCAAGCGTTTAAGCATAGCCTCAGTTAGGGTCCACGCTTCTACTCCATACAGCAGGACAGGAAAGATGTAGCAAGATATCATACGAACTCTAAGGTCAATGCTAAGATCATGACTGCAAAGTACGTTTCTCATTTTTACAAAGGCAGCTCGGGCTTGTTCTATTCGGATTTTAATTTCTGCGGTTGGATCCCAGCTCTCATTGATATTACTGCCGAGATACACGAGTTTCTCTACTCTGTCCAGTGTGGCATCTCCGACTTTTATACCGTCATCATGTATATAATTTTGTTTGCTAACTATCATATATTTAGTTTTCTTAACGTTGAGTTTTAATCCATACTGATCACAAGTCTGTTTTATTTTGTTCATTAGATTTTGAAGGTCTTCTCCGCAATTGGCAAGGACTAAGGTATCGTCGGCATATCTAATATTGTTGACGGTTACTCCATTCACAATAATACCTTCGGTTGTCTCCATTAAGGCTTACTTAAATATTTCCTCCGAATATAAGTTAAAAAGTAAAGGCGACAATATACAGCCTTGTCTCACTCCTCTTTTTATATTTATTTCATCCGACAGTTCTTGTTCAACCTTTATTCTTGCCACTTGATGCCAGTATAGATTTGTAATTATTCGTAGATCTTTATCGTCCAATCCAGCTGTTTCCAATATTTCTAGCATTTTGTTATGTCGGACTTTGTCAAAAGCTTTTTCAAAATCGATTGCACAAATATACACATTTTGATTTATATCTCTGCATCTCTGTACTAGCACCTGTATACTAAACAAGGCTTCTCTTGTACCCAAGCCACTCCTAAACCCAAATTGAGTATTGCTAATTCTGTCCTCTAACAGCGTATAAATTCTGCTGTGTATTACTCGCAGGAAGATCTTCAAAACGTGACTCATCAGACTTATTGTCCGATAATCACCGCATGTCTTTGGACGATGTTTCTTAGGTATTGTGACAAATGTCGACTTTAACCAATCAGTTGGTAATATCCCAGTGTCATAAATTCTGTTAAAGAGATTACAAAGAGCTTTAATTCCATTTTCTCCCAAAAACTTTAGTATTTCAGCACTTACTTCATCGGGGCCAAGTGCTTTTCCATTTTTTGCCGTTTGTATTGAACGTCTTACCTCACTTTCTGTTATAGATGGACCTGATATAGCAATCGGTGTATAGTGTTCTACTCTCTCATCTTCAAATAATTCAGAAATGTAGTTTTCCCATTCTTTTAACTTTTCATTGATGTCTAATATTCTGTGTCCGTTTCTGTCTTCTAAACTTTGGGATACTTGTTTCCATTTGTTTCCAGCGACCTCTTTCAATTTCTTGTGCAGATGAAATGTATCGTGTTTCTTTTCATATTGTTCAATTTCATTACATTCTTTACTATGAAATTGTGTTTTCGCGTGTCTTATCTTCTGCCTGATTATTGCGTGGATCCTCTTGTATTCGTTTTTATCTTTATTTCTGACTTCTCTTCTTTGATCCATAAGTCTCAGTATTTCTTCTGTCATCCACCCTTGTTTTTTTCTTGCTTTTAGCGCACTCAATTTTGTTTCTTGAACAGTCTTTAAGATGTCTTTAATTCTCGTCCAGTTTTCCTCAGTACTTTCTTCTTTGCTTGATGTTAACTTCATCTTTTGTTCTAATATACTAGTTATTTCTTGTTTTACAGAATCATTTAGCATCGTTTCTCTATCAATAGTAACTGTTTGCTTATTCGTCCTTGCAACTCTTTTTAATCTCAGTCTTATTTTTCCTACTAAAATATTGTGATCTGTTGGTACATCTGCCCCTGGATATGTTTTTACTGATAATACTGAATTTCTGTATCTCTTATTTATACATATGAAGTCTATTTGGTTACGAAAAACTCGTTCAGGTGTATCTGCTGGTGATTTCCAGGTGTAAAGACGACGTTTTGGAAGTTTGAAAATTGTGTTCATTATTACTAATTGCTTTTCTACGCAAAAAGATGCCAACATATCTCCTCTTTCATTTCGTATTCCCAGACCATATTTCCCTATGACATCTTCCTGTTCACCTTCACCAATCTTTGCATTAAAATCACCCATGATAATATTGAGATCGTGTTTCTTTGTAGGTGCTAATACTTTTTCTAAATCATGATAGAATTTTTCAATTTCTTCTTGTTCATAGTCTTGTGTGGGTGCATATACTTGTAATATGTTCACATTGATTGTTGTTGATTGTATCAACATTACCATTTACTTTGAACCATACTTAGTGGTATTTCTATTTTGTTGTAAATTCTCGAGTGCATTATTCTTAGGAAAATTTTCAGTACATAACTCATCAGACTGATAGTGCGATGATCGCTACACTGTTTGGCATTTATTGTTTGCGGTATCATTACAAAAAAGTTCACAGTAGCCAGTCTGTTGGCATATGTCCTGTTACAATCTGCAAAATGTTTTGGAGAAAAGTTTTTTATAGATTAGTTATGTACGGCTATTGTAAATTCTTGGATTATTTACAAGGGTTTGCATAAAAAAAGTGTACAAGATAATAGAAACATTTTCACTTTTGAATTTTGTGCAGCTAATTATATTGTACTTTTTTTATTTTGAATACAAGTTTGTTTCTTTACTGAGGGATTTATTTATCCCACTATTCAACACTAACGGGGCATAAGGATCGGACATGTCCGATGTCCTTTCAAGGATACAAGGACACGCAACAATGTAAAAAAATCATATTAGGTCTCAAGGTGTCAATGAATATCAATAAAGTCATTTTAAATAGTTTTATTTAGCTACAATGAAATCAGTAATTGATTAATTAATTAATTAATTAAAAAGGGTTAACACTGAAAATTCCATGATACATTTAAATGATCTCATAAGAATCGTAAAAAATGGCAAAAATACTTCTTTAATACTATTATAGAAACTGACAATTCCGGCAAAATACAAAAATTGCATAAGAAAGCTGCCCTTTTCACCTTTGAAATGTTTTTTGATTTTTGTCGATAGACCATTGATTTTTTTT